CTAAGCCATTATTTAAACAAATTCACTGGCCTTATTCACTTGTGAGAAAAAAAAAAGTGGCATTTTTGGTCAGTTAGTCTGCCAAGGGATTCTTCCTTTCTTACTGGATTGAATTTGTAAATTGATTCGTATGCAGTTTTCATCATGAGTAAACTAATTATAACATAAAGATTTAGAAATTCTTACTGTACCTTTAAAAAAAAACACACACACAAGTTTCCACTTTCAATGATGGCAGACCAGCCTGTTTCAGACTGACTCTCCTTCAGGAACAATGGTGAAAGTGTTCGGTAGGTAAGAACATCCACATTAAGACACCGCAGAGGGCTGGGGATGTGGCTCAAGCGGTAGGGCGCTCGCCTGGCATGCGCGAGGCGCTGGGTTCGATCCTCAGCACCACATACAAATAAAGATGTTGTGTCCGCCGAAAACTAATAAATAAATAAAATAAAATAAAGGTTCATCAACATCTAAAACATATTTAAAAAAAAAAAAAAAAGACACCGCAGAGCCACCAAAGCACTGAAGACTCCATGAGACCAGAGTTCAGAGAGGGAAATGCTAGGTATGTGATGTCAGTATTTGGTAACACTCTGCTGGTAACACTCTGCTTCAAAGTATTTGTCAAAGTCAGAGTGGTAACTAGGAGTCCAAGAAGTATAGTAGGGCTTTTGGCAGACTGCACTAGTGGAGAGATTTAAAAATAGAGAACAGAATATTTACAGAATGAAAATGAACAAACTATTGCAATACACAAAATACAGACGATCTCACTAAAAATACATACATATATACATTTGATCAATACACCTAGACACAAAAAAAGCAGATGCTATATGATTCCATATGCATAAATTCCAAAAACTAAACTAACTAATTCATAGCATTGTAAGGCATGAAAGCAGTTACTTCAGTGTCCTTATTTATTTAGAGAGTATCTTGTTGTTGTTTTTGTTTGGGGGGGGATTGTTTGTTTTTTTTATCGAACATACCATAGGTTTTTGCTTTGTAGCTAGCTATGAGCTTACAAACAAATTAGATTTAGAGCAAGTTATTTTATTTATTTTGGACTTAATAATTCATTATGATTTATAAGTGTTATTATGAAAGTGTAACTTCATGAAACAACGCAGAAATAAGTATACAAAAGTCTGAAAAACAAAACATAGCTTAAACATGGTAAGTAGATAGATTATCTGAAGTTCTGGATTTTTCAGTCACTTTATTATTATGCAATGGCTTCTAAGTAATACTTCAGCTGGAATAAGCCCCCTAAATCCAGTTTCATTGTAGATCTCAACTTCTATAATATCTTCTGTAATTTTCCCTTCAAAGCTTTCCTTTGGGGTTCAGAGGCCTCAACAGCATCTTCAAGCTCCAGATGTTTATTAAAGCTTTTTTCAAGGAAAGGTTTCCCATTCACATAGTTATTTTTCATTGCTTCAGCCTTTGAGGCAAAGTAAACTCCAGATGGAAATGCCAGAAATGAATATGGTCCTCCCTCATTCCATCCACAAATAAGGAAACTCCAAGTGGAAGAACACCACTTGCTGCTGGTGCATGGATTTTTGCATCTTGTACCCGGGATACCTGTGGGGGATGTGAAAGGGTCATGACCTCCAACCCGGACCTGGGGTCATTCACCGCCCTTGCTCTGATTACAGTAGCAAAGTAGGGTCCAACAAATTCAGTTAGTAAATTTGTGTGTGACCCCTGGCATTCCTCATCTTCTCTTCCCAATACTCTGACCCCTCCTGTTCCACCCACGGCACCCACGACTCCATCTTCAGTTATCCTCAAGTATGCCCCTTCCATAGTCTTCCAGCTTATTCCACAGTCGAAAATCACTGATGTCCTCCTTGACTCCTTTCTCACATTCCAGATTCGGTCCATTAGGAAATGTTGAAAAGTCCATCTTCAAAATAGATCCAGGATCTGATCACTCTCACCATTTTCATTGCTCACATCTCTGCTGAGGGGACCCACGTCTGCATCCAAAACAGAACACTAGTAGTCCCCTGCAGTTTTGCTGCAACCTAGTTATGCAACCTCAAGATTCTCTTCTCAGCAGAGAAACCACAGTTCCTATTACAACACATTTCTGTTACAAAACAAATCACATGGTGGTCCTCTTCTGCTCAAACTGACTTCCAACTCCCTATTACTCAGAGAAAAAGTACAAAATCTTCCAGCATCCTCCAGGACTCATGATCTGGTTAAACCACCATCCAAATCTCAGTGACTGCTTCAGACACTCCACTTCCTTATTCTTCCCAGAACATGTAGATACACTCCTGCCCCAGTGCACTTGCCCTAAAGTTTCTCCTGCCTGGAAAAAAATTGTTCTGGACACCCTCAAGGAATGATTCCTCGTATTCTTCAAAGCTTCAAAGATCTCCTTCCCAGTGATTTCCATGCTGACCATCTTAGTAAAACAGTCATCTTCCTTGTCCCCACACACTGGGATCACCTTTCCCATAATACTTTCCACCTTCTAACATCAACATTTTCCTTACTCTGCCTAGAGTGTATCCTCTGCCTCTTCCCATTATGACACATGCTGTACAAGGTAGGCAATTTTTCTATTTCTCCTTCAATAAGGTTCCCACATGCAAAAAAAAAATAGCGTGTCACATATCCAGTACACAACAAATATCAGCTGAATGAATGATCACTGTAAAGCACCTCTGTCTTCTAACACACTATGTTTTTTAATGGAGCCTCAGGTCAAGTGCTGCTCAGTGGCTACTGCAGCACAAGGTCCTCTAACACTGAGGTCAGGGCTGTCTGGTCTTTTGTTACAGTGCTATTGTCTCTCTCTCACACACACACACAAGGCCACCTGCACTTCACAGCATACAAGTACATTTCTCCCTTCAGAAATGACAATTCTTGGCTCATAGGTCCTATTTTACAAATAAATATAAATTAAGGCTGGGCATGGTGGCACACACCTGTTATCCTAGCAGCTTGGGAGGCTGAAGCAGGAGGAACATGAGTTCGAAGCCAACCTCAGCAACTTAGTGAGGCCCTAAGCAACTCAGCAAGACCCTGTCTCTAATTTAAATATAAAAAATGAGCTGGGGATGTGGCTTAGTGGTTAAGTACCCCTGGGTTCAAATCCCCGGTACCAAAAAAAATTAAATTAGGCTCTGAATTATAAATACTTGAATTTACATTGGAGCCAGTGCTAGAATTACTAGAGCTAATGACAGGGAGAGAGGTAGACAAGCAGAGCAGAAAATGAATATCAGCAGGAATTTGTCTAAAATAGGAACTATGAGATCCCTCCTCTCAGCTAATCCTAGAATTAGAAATCAGACTTTAAAAGATTGGATAAATGGGCTGGGTTGTGACTCAGATGTAGAGCTCTCCCCTAGCATGCGTGAAACACTGGGTTCGATCCTCAGCACCACATAAAAATAAAATAAAGGTATTGTGTCCACCTACAACTAAAAAATAAATATTAAAAAAATATTGGATAAAGAAGGACAATCCAGGAAAAGGCCATGGAAGGAGGACAGGAGCTTATGAGTCTGAAAATCCATCTCTTGATACCACAGATACTGTGTGCACGGGCCTTGTGAAGACAATGACAGGAAAAACACCTCTTGCTGTTGCCACATCAGGTGCCACAGAGGAGAATGAGACCAGAACTCATTGGCAAGAAAAATAACAGGCATAATCCTCTTTAGAAAGTAAGACAGAGAATAAACACAAAAGATGTAGGATGAAGGTCACACCCAGATCTGGGCCTAGATGGATCTGGTCACAGGTCAAGAGACAGGTCTAGGAGACAAGACAAAGCTCTGGTAATATCAGTCCCCATGATCACAGGTCCTGGTGGGACAAGGTTCTATTGGAGGAACATAGACAAGGGAGTAAGGAAGACAACCCAGCTGAGGAGTAACCATGTCAAAGCCCAGCATGGACTGAGCACCAACGAGCCATAGCCCCATCCACATTGGCTTCCTCACAGCCCTCTCCTGTCCCCATCGGTTCTCAGTGCTTCCATTTATTTCCTCCCTCAAATTTTAGGAATCTTCTCTGTTAATTAACCACTCAATTGTTTGGGTCGAGATTTTGAAAAAAAAAATTTATGTTCAGATTATTATTTTCAGGATGGAAGTTGTAGTTCAGTGCACCTTGATGTTGAACCTAGGATGGAGTCGTCCCAGCTGTACCTCTGCTGGTACAGGAAAGGTGATTGGGGAAGAGACAAGGTGGGGACAAGAGTCCTGGAGAGCAGGGTTGGGCTGGTCACTTCACCTCTTCTCATTATGCTCATAGAAACATAGACACATTCAGAAGTCATCTGCAGAGGTGGATGTGATAGTGCACAGCTGTAATCTCAGCTACTTAGGAGGCTGAGGCTGGAAGATTGCAAATTCAAGGCCAGCCTCAGTAACTTAGCAAGGCCCTAAACAACTTGGTGAGACTCCAAAGTAAAATATAAAAAGGACTGGGGATGTAACTCAGTGGTAAAGTGCCCCTGGGTTCAATTCCCAGTCTAAAAAAAAAAACACAGAAACCAGTTGCAGAAAGAGAAGAGAATCCCTGTGTTCTTGGAATCACAAAGTGGAGACTTGAACAAATCTTGTGTTGCTCCATCCCACACAAGGCCGTTGTTTCATGCTTCAGAACAAAAGTACCATGAACAAATTCAGGGCAGTTCCTACCAGTGATAATGTTCTGAACAACCTATAGGTCACTCATAAGATCCAGAGAGTACCTGTAACCTAGTCCAATCTCCTGTGCCCCAACCCCTCTCCTACTTATTAAGGCCCTCTAGGTCTCACCTTTACAGGCCTAGAGAAACATCAGAGCACTGGGCGCTGTCATTACTTAGGGCAGAAAAACATGATATACTCAGAGCCCAGAAGGGTGAGTTCCCCCATGGGCTCCTATACACACTATCCCAAAGGTTCCAGAGACAACATTCTCCCCCAATACTTACTTGGAGCCTAGATAACTTCTCTTCTATCTGTGAGAGAAAAAAAATAAAAACAACCTGTGAGGAGCCAAGGAGAAGGCAGGGCCATGAGGGCCCAGAGGAACGCCCTAGTCTTAGACCTCAGGGAAGTTTCTAGATTGCGACCACAGACTCAGGGAAACATAAGAAAAGGAGATATTCAGGAACTTAATCAACTGCCATCCTGGAGGTCTGTCCTCAGCAGTGACTTTCCCTGTGACCTCTGACTTCTGGGAATCAGGTGTCTTCATCATCACCATCATAAAGGTAATAAATTTGTGCTGAATTTTCCTTGTGCTATACAATAGAGCGTCAGCAAGTGCCTGTGGATGGTGCTTCCCATTAATGAGGCAGAGTTCACTTCTACCAGGGGCCTGGAACAAGAATACTCAGATCCCTCCATTTCCCTACCTGCATTCCTTCTCTGCATCATAACAGCCACCACAGCTCCAGTGACCACAGCTACAAGGAGAACCAGGCCAACAACAATTCCCATGACAGGGATGGTGGACTGAGAAGGTGGCTCTGGGAAGAGAAGGGGAAGTAGGTGAGGGACCCTGACCCCCAGCTCTCAGCCCTGACCCTCCAGAAGAGCTCCCGCTTTCCCTGCCAACAGGCTCTGTACTTTCATCCCCTCCTTACCCCATCTCAGAGTGAGGGGCTCAGGCAGCCCCTCATGGTGCACATGGCATGTGTATCTCTGCTCCTCTCCAGCAGGCACCACCACAGCTGCCCATTTCTGGAAGGTTCCATCCCCTGCAGGCCTCGTCTCCACAAGTTCCATCTCCTGAGTCTGGTCCTCCCCATCCCACTGCCAGATCAGAGTGATCTCCTTAGGGTAGAAGCCAAGAGCCCAGCGCCTCAAGGTGATGTCTCCTTCAGGGCTGGGGTGGTAGGTCACTCGTGTCTTTGGGGGGGTCTAGTGGAAAAGTTGGAAAATTCAGCCACCTTGCATTATTCCTGGTACACTGAAGCAGCACTCATGAGACCATCAGAGAATAGACAGGACACCGAGGGTGGAGGAGATTGCAAAACACCTAGAGGCATCTGGGATAACTTATTTCTTGGAAAGGTCTAGAATCAGAGTAAGCCAGCCCAGGTTAGAAGGCTTGAGGTCTTTGACGGGGAGAAAAGGAATTTCTGTTTCTGACTGGAGGCCAAGAAACTCAAAATATCTGGAGTCTGATAAGCAAAGGCTTTAAACTTGGGGCAAAGAACAAGATGTGGGAGAGAGGAGTTCCCAATCAGCTGCTAAAGTCATGAGGAAGTGCTGGCGGACTCTGTGGTGCACAACTATTACTCAGAGGCTGAGGTAGGAGGATTGTAAGTTCAGTTCAAGGGCAGCCTGAACAATTTAGAGAGATCCTGTCTCAAATGTGAAAAAAGAAAAAAAAAAAGTGAGGTGGGTGGCTCAGTCGTAAAGCCCTTGCCTAGCTGGCAGTGAATCTTTGGGTTCAATCCCTAGTACAGGAAGGAAGGAAGGAAGGAAGGAAGGAAGGAAAGAAGGAAGGAAGGGCGGGCTTGTGGGTTATTTCCGGGACCTTCTCTCTCACTCCCTGGTGTTGGATCTGAAAATTCGATCTCCCCCTTTCCCTCCAGATGCCAGAGAGCTGCAGAATTCTAACCAGAATCCCGTTTTCCTCCCCTCCTCAAAAGACGCCAGCAGCAGTAGGAGGGCAGAGGGGAGATATCCAAGAACCTCATATACTTGAGCGCTGCAGCATCTCCTTCCCCTTCTCCAGGTATCTGTGGAGCCACTCCACGCACGGGCCCTCCAGGTAGGCCCTGTAAAATTCCGTGTCCCACTTGTGCAGTGTGATCCGAGCCGCCGCATCCACCGCGGTCCAGGAGTGCAGGTCCTGGTTGAGAGCGAGGTAATCTACGCCGTCATACGCTGCCTGATGGTACCCGCGGAGGAGGCGTCCATCCGGCCCCACTTCACAGCCCAGGGTCCACTGGAGTGTATGAGATCCTGGCCCCGTCCTCGTGGTCAGCCACCGCCCCCAGCCAGCCCCCACCCTCACCAATCCAAGGGGATTTCTACCAAGATTGAAAATGGAACAGGGTTAACGGCCCCCAGCAGTTTTTTCCCAGGTGGAGGGTCTTCGCGAGTCTCCAAGACTGGGAATGAACCTTGGACTTGGGGACCAGGGACAACTCGGGCCAGTCGATGGTGGTGGGGGTAGTGATTTCCTACCCGGACCCGGAGTCACTCACCGCCCTCGCTCTGGTTGTGGTAGCCGAGCAGGTTGCGCAGGTTTCCTAGGTCGATCTGTGCCGAGTTTTTGCAGACCCGTGTCTGATCTTCCCAATACTCAGGCCCCACCTGATCCATCCACTGCGCCCGCGGCTCCATCCTTGGATTGGCGGAGTAGCTGTCGAAGAGCACGAACGGCGTGTTGTCCACGTAGCCGACGGTCATGTACTGGTACTCTCTGCGGCCCGGCCAGGTCATGGCGATATCGAAATATCTCAAAGAGTGGGAGCCTGAAGGGTAGGTGCGACCAGGATCCCAGTTGGATGAGACCCGGTGGAAAGGAGGAGGGGCAGGTGCTGGTGAAACCGAACAGGCGCTGCGGGATGCAGAACTCGAGAGGGGAGTGACCAGGAGGGAGACGAAGTAGTGGGGTCTGGGCTGTGAACTACCAAGGAAGAGTAGTTAAGGTAGGAGTTGGGGATTAAAGATCGGTGGCAGCGGGTCGCGATCTCCTCCTGTCCAGCGCTTCCTCCGGGCGGTCCCTCCGGAATCCGCACTCACCTTCCCAGGTCTCGGTCAGGGCCAGGACCCCCAAGAGCACCAAGAACAGGGTTCGGCGCGCCATGATCTTATTCTCAGATTTGGGGAGACCTCCAGTCCCAGCCTGTCTCTGAGGACTTTATAACCCGGAACCGCGGCGACGATGACTGGCTTCCCTAGGAACCCAACACGCAATGGGATTGAGAACTGCGGTCGCGTCACAAATATCCAGGCTGGGAAGTGGAGGAGCGAAACGTCAGGACAAAGAGGAATCCCCAAAACTCGACTTTAGCACCATAGACCTTCAAACACCAGGCTTGGGCCTGAGACCTTGAAATCCACGAACTGAGATCTGGAACTTTATCCTGACAATAGCTCTCTGTCACATCATCTCTCTGAATCCAGGGTGTGAGAAAATCTTAGGAGACACTCAAGCTGAACCCAAACCCCTTTTCTCTTCCTGGATTCCCTCTCTCTGAGCTATACCCCTACTCCCTAACAGAACTCTTGGATTTTTCTAGAAGAAAATTCACCCACAGGAAAAATGATGCCAAACAATGAGTTGGCCTACAAATGGAGACAGAGGGAAACTTTCTCCTTAAACTTGGCACCACATAGATTCCCATAGACACCAGGATCCTGTTTTTTTATTAACTGCAGCACAGTCTGGATAATCCCTGAGTAGTCAGAAATCATATATATATATATATATATATATATATATATATATATATATATATATATATATAAAATGTATACACAACAACAACTATATATAGTTGTTTATATTTATATATACATATATATGTATGTATATACATAAACAACATATATAAATATATAATTATATATAAACAAATATAAATAGAGATATAGATATAGTTGTTCTTGTTTTTGACTGGTGTGGTGGTGCTGTTACAGGGGACACTGACCTTCCCCCAAGCTGAGGCAGTCCACAGATGAACCCCATCTCCCTTCAAAGCACATTCTTACAATCATGTCATAAAGATTTTAGACAGTTGCTCAGAATAACAGGCATGAGTTTATTAGAAGGGATAGGAAAGGAGGAAAGGGAGAGAATGGGTCTTCTCTGAAATAAGAGGGTCTATAACACCTTTCCTGCCCTCCAATTTTATTAGGTGACCCAGGGAAGTTTCTAGAATGTCCAGTCCAGGTCCACCTTTTGACTTTTGACTAACAGCCTAGAAACTGCAAGGTCTGTCTCAAAGACATGATGTGGTATTCACAGAGTTGGAGACTTTAAGGAAATTGAGCCCCCCTGTTTTTGCCTCAGTTTTCTGCCTCCTTAATCAGATTATTACCCTTTGAATACCCCTCCACAAACTTTCTTTGTGAAGGTATTGATATTTGGGTTGCCAGGGTGATTGGGTGATTATGGTAAATTTCCATGAAATTTTTGGGGGATCCAGGCCACCTGATAGGGTGCAACATTGTGGGGAGCCACTCTGAATGAACATGCCTTCCAGTCCTGAAGCAGGGAGCTCTGACTATTCACTACATTTCATAGTGACTTGGGGGTTGTTCCAGTTCAGATAGCAAGGCCTGACTTCAGGTGTAGACATATCTGCTGGGATTGAATTACACTCACCTGCTCCCTTGTAATCTTACCCCTTCTGCCCTTTTATGAATAGAACTTTCTAAGAATAGTGTCCCCACCAAATAAAAGCTCACTTCTGAATAGGCTTCCCTCTCTCTCATCAGTCTCTCCCGACTTTCTCTTGCTCTCCCTTTTGGGGAGCTTGAGGCCGAGAGCTGGGAAAAGCCATCCTGAAGCTTGTGTAAAGGTAATTTGTGTCTGTGTTTTATTTTGCATCACCCCAAATTCACACAAGCAACCTTAGTTCAGCCATCCTCGATGAACAGGGGCGGCACAACATGATCTTAAACAATAACTTTTCTTAAGGGGATGTTATTATGGCTGGGGAAGGTTTTAACATACCAAGCCCCCATTTTCCATGTGCTTCTCTGTCAGATAAGGCACCTGTGGTTTTCAGTTGCCCTTCATTTTCCTGTCTTTTTTTTTTTTAAATACTGGGGATTGAACTCAGGGGCACTCAACCACTGAGCCACATCCCTAGCCCTATTTATTTAGAGACAAGGTCTCACTGAGTTGCTTAGCACCTCACTTTTGCTGAGGCTGGCTTTGAACTTACAGTCCTCCTGCCTCAGCTTCCTGAGCTGCTGGGATTACAGGCGTGTACCTCTATGCTTTGTTCCTTGTCTTTTCCTTTTCCTTTTTTTTTTTTTTTTACTGGGTGTAAGAAAAGAAGCAAATGAAGTAAATAAAGAGAGAAGAGAGGCAGTAACAGGTTTATTCATGACAAACCTGCAGAGCTGGGCTCAGTGGAGACTAAGACCCATCTTCCACTTACAGCAGGGGTAGATATAGGGGCATGAGGGAGTGGGGGAATTGTTTTGCAGTTAAGCCATTGAAAAGGGGTTGTCAGGGAAAGTTTCTCATGGTCCTCACCTCTATTATTTTAGGTTCCATGTCAAACCAGGTGTTTTTAGGATTACAGTCGCAGAAAACAATTTCCTTTTTTTGTAAGATGATGGAGTATATCCTGGGTTTTAGGGTCAGGCTGAGTCCCAGTGACTGTGAGAGGACTCATTCTAAGATAGAGACTATATTTCAAAATGGTGTTGCCTGTGTCAAGTTTTACCTAACATTCCTGCCTTTTCCTTTTTTAAAATTTTTATTTATTTTTTTAGTCATACATGACAGTAGAATGCATTTTGACATATAATACATACATGGAATGTACATACATCAATCATATTGTCTATTCTATTCTGCTGCCCTTCCTATCCTCCCTACTCCTTTTTTCTTTTTATTCCATAAGAAAGGGGTGAAGGGAGAAGGAGTGGCAATGTCTTTTGAATTACTTCCTGCTGAGAGAGAGCTTCCATTGAGAATTCATATAAACATTGGTATTGAACAGCTCTAATGGAGCTAGCAGGAGGATGTTCTGGACCCTCTGATCAATACTGGTGTTGATGGTTCTATAAAAGGGAGGTGAATAGCTGAAACAGGAAGGGCCCAACTGTAAGCAAAAATTACCGAAAACGGGAGCAGACCTTGGATCAGCAAGCTGTCTTTATTAAGCATCCATGAAATGACACATGACAAATTTTTAGGGGAGAAAATGGTAACTGGTAACAAGAGGGGTCTGCTTTTTATAGTTTTTAATGAGAGTTAATCACAGCAGAATGTTTAGTGGGACTTAATCATCAGAGACTTGGGACATGCCGGCTGGGCATGTCAGGAAACTAGTTTTGCAGATTAAAAATCTAACTCAGGAAAACAGTTGTAATAGCTTGAAACTCATTGTTACTGGGATAAAAATCCAGAGCCCAGAGCCCTTTTGTTTGCCTTCCCCTCTCAGACTCAGTGTTACTGGGAAAGGATGAAAGCCCAGAGCCCAGGGCCCAGTGTTTGCCTTCCCCTACTCTCCTCCTGGATTATACTGTCCTCCTTTTCTCCCTGGGGGCTGTCATTTTCCTTTTCTTGGGAGATGTTATTTTCCATATCTTTCACAAACAGCAAGGCCAAGAATTATACAGAGAATTGGAAAGAGAAAAAGGGCCTAGGCAATTCCTGTCTAGTTAGTGGATAAACAGTTATAAGAATTATATTTACAAAGAAGATTCACTGATTATAGTTGAGGCAGCCAGAGGAGTGATAGGAGACAGCTCCCTTTAGCCGAAGGTAGGGTCTTGTAGGAAAATTTTAATGGGAGTGTGGTGGGTGGCCATATGGGCTTGGAGGTATCCCACATTGAGGTTGACATTTCAAGGAGGAGCAATGGCAGGGACGTTAGAGGGGAAGGAAAGGCATCTGGTTGGCATAAGAGGATAAAGGAAGCAGAAGAGTATAGTGAGCTATGGTGGGAATGAAAATGAATGAAGGCGTTGAATATAGTTAGGATGTCACTGCCAAGGATATGGGTTGGGCAGCCAAGCCAGAGTGGGGCCTTCTACTCAGGCAGCCAAAAAAAAAAAGCTTTAACCTAGGGTTTTAATATGGGGTAGTGGGATCCCATTCTCTAAGGTTCCCATTTCTATCTACCTATAGATAATCTATTTCATGCCTCAATCCCTCCTCTGAAGATGTCCTTGACTGCTGTCAGGAAAAGGGACAATGACTGCTCTGGTTTCTTCAAGCTAATAGTGGGTGTCAGCTGTGGCAGTCAAGGAAACCCTTCAGAGGGTCTATCTAGGGGTCCTCAGTAGAATTTGGGAGGCAGCTCCATGCGGGGGCGGGGGGGGGGGGGGTTCTGGTTCCATGACCATCTGGAGCTTAATGGTGCTGTAGGCATCTTATGAATCAGGGCAGTCCAGAGGTCCATGATGGCTGTTAGCAGGTGACTAGACAAGTTGTAAAAAGGGCAGGGATCATGCTAGGACAACAACAAACAATAGAGCAAAGCACTGTTTTCTGCAAACAGCACAAAAGTGATCAGTGTTACCAGCCAGCCTCTGAAGACCACGAAAATAGTAACTTATTAGAGTATAGGGTATAGTCTGACATGTCATTTATTTGTGAGTGGAGGCCATACAAATTTTTGGACACAGTAGTAGAATTGCTTGAAACTAACATTTAATTTTTATAATGGCATAGGTGGCCCCTTGAGCTGTGGAATGCCGTATGATTTCTGTAAAGTAGCTTTTTACTGGTATTACCTCTGTATTTGTTGAAAGAATTCGCTAATTCTCTCTTGGTAAAGTCAGTTAGGCCTTTATGTATCACATTATATATCTCCTAAACTTTACATTTTAAAAGACTTGTATTCTTACAAACAACAATAAGTGTTGGCGAGGATGTGGGGAAAAAGGTTTTCTTTACCTACTTTCTAATGTCATGGTTCCTGTTTGCCCAATGATCATTTGTCTGTTAACCACTGTATGTAACCAACCCCTACTGGCAACATAATTACAGCACAATAATGATTTTCATGGGGGGAGGGGCATGCCAAATTGGGCATCACTTTGTCTTAGCAATTAATGGGATATTGATTTCTAAAATAAGTTAATATTAAGCAAGGTGCCGGTTGTACAATCTCTAATTTGATCGATGTCTTTTCAGCACTTTGAGCTTTACTTGGCTCACTTAGTCTTCCTTTTGT